GGTCCCATCCTAACCTGTAAAAAACAATACAAAATCAACATTTTTCTTATTTTTTCCTCTCGACATGGACGTCCTGTCGTCCACGGCGATAATCCATTGCAAAAAATACCACAAAGAGCACACGCGCGCGTTCATGTCAGAATCCTACCGAACACCGTGTGTTTGCAAGCATTTCAACATAAAAACATCAAAAACCCAATGCTTTTTTCACAAAAAATTGTACAAATTTCCCGCCCGGGCTCTCTTGCTGAAATCATAGGAAAACCATAGGAATCTTAAGAATTCTGTCAAATCCAGCGATTTCACGTCATCGCGCGGTGCACTCGCGATGCTCTGTCATGCACCCAGGCCGCGAATCCTGTGCAAAAAATACCACAAAGAGCACACTCGCGCGTTCATGTCAGAATCCTACCGAACACCGTGTGTTTGCAAGCATTTCAACATAAAAACATCAAAAACCCAATGCTTTTTCACAAAAATGCTTTGGGGTGTCCTGTCAGACCGTCGGGCTTCCTCCGGCCACCTCTGGCTTCCTGCGGTGTACCGGGCCATTCTCGACTCGTCTGGCAATGCGTGCGCGGCATTCAACACGCGCTCGCCAGTTCCCGTCGGCAACCGCCATCGCGGCCGCATCAGCTGTACCAAACCGGCTGGCCGGTGTGACTTCGGCCCCCAGTTGTGCCAGCTTTGCTTCTTATGTTGTGGGAGGGCGGGTGGGACTGGCCATGCCATGCTTGACTCGCTCGAGCTGGCTAGCTTGACTCCTACTCCTACTCCTACTCCTACTCCTACTCCCCCTCCTCCTCCTACTACTACTATTACTACGACTACTACTTTTATTACTTTTACCACTACTACTACTACTACTACTACTACTACTACTACCACTACTACTACCCCTACTCCTACTCCTACTCCTACTCCTACTCCTACTCCGACGCCTACTCCTACTCCCCCTCCTCCTACTACTACTCCTACTACTACTACTACTACTACTACTACTACTAATAATAATAATAATAATACGAGTACTAGTAGTACTGCAAGTACTTGTCATAGCACTACTTTTTTCGGTTACTACTACTACTACTACCACTACCACTACAAACACCACTACCACTGGTACTACTACTCCTGCCTCTTGGGGCCTCCTGGGCCCCCTTGGGGTGTCCTGTCAGACCGTCGGGCTTCCTCCGGCCACCTCTGGCTTCCTGCGGTGTACCGGGCCATTCTCGACTCGTCTGGCAATGCGTGCGCGGCATTCAACACGCGCTCGCCAGTTCCCGTCGGCAACCGCCATCGCGGCCGCATCAGCTGTACCAAACCGGCTGGCCGGTGTGACTTCGGCCCCCAGTTGTGCCAGCTTTGCTTCTTATGTTGTGGGAGGGCGGGTGGGACTGGCCATGCCATGCTTGACTCGCTCGAGCTGGCTAGCTTGACTCCTACTCCTACTCCTACTCCTATTCCTACTCCCCCTCCTCCTCCTCCTCCTCCTCCTACTACTACTACTACTACTACTACCACTACTACTACTACTACTGATACTCCTACTTTTACTTTTACTTTTACTTTTACTTTTACTTTTACTTTTACTACTACTACTACTACTACTACTACTACTACTACTACTACTACTACTACTACTACTACTACTACGACTACTACTACTACTGCTGTCCTTGGGTGCCTTTTCATTGAAGCAGGGCGACATCGCCAGCCGCGATTGCTCCGCGACGCGCTGCCGCCGAGGGCTCCGCCCGCTGCCACTACTACTACCCCGGCTGCTAGTACTTATGCTACTGCTACTACTAGTAATACTAGTCCTACGACTACTGATACTACTTTCAGTACTCCTACTACTACCACTACTTCTATTACAGCAACTACAACGACTTCTACTACAACAACTATTACCACAACAACTACTACTACTACTACTACTACTACTACTACTACTACTACGACAACTACTACACTAGTATTACTACTATTATTATTACTACTAATACTACTACTACTACTACTACTACCACGACTACTACTACTACTACTGCTGCTACTAGTACGACTACTACGACTACTACTGCTACGACTGCTACGCTTACCACTACTACTACTACTACTACTACTACTACTACTACTACTACACTTACTCCTACTATTATTATTAACTATTACTATTACTATTACTTCTACTAATACTACTACTACTCCTACTACTACTACTACTACTACTACTACTGGTACTACTTCTTCTACTAGCACTACGTTACTACTACTACTAGTACTACTACTACTACTACTACGACTAGTACTACTACGTTACTACTAGTTACTTCTACTACGTTACTACGACTACTACCACTACGACCACTACTACGACTACGACCACGACGGCTACTACTTCTACTGCTACTACTACGACTACTCCTACTACTAGTACTACGTTTACTACTCTTACTCTTATCCTTATTCCTTCTTAGAATATACTCCTACTCCCCCCTCAGGCCGGCAGATAGGGGCCCCATCCGGGTGGTCCCATCCTAACTTGTAAAAAAATTATCCTGGCGAAAGACCCAACCATAAGCAATTGTTGGTAACGCGTTGTGGGTGCCGCTTTCGGTGGGGCTCCATATGGGGCCACGAAGCGCTGCCTTGGATGGGGGAACCGCATGCGGACTGCGCCACCGGGGCGGGCCTTCGGTGGAGCTCCCTATGGGGCTACGAAACGCTGCCCTGGGTGGGGGAACCGCATGCGAACCCCCACTGGGGCCTTCGGTGGAGCTCCCTATGGGGCCACGAAACGCTGCCCTGGGTGGGGGAACCGCATGCGAACTGCGCCACGGGGGCATTCGGTGGAGCTCCCTATGGGGCCACGAAACGCTGCCCTGGGTGGGGGAACCGCATGCGAACACCCCCACTGGGGCCTTCGGTGGAGCTCCCTATGGGGCCACGAAACGCTGCCCTGGGTGGGGGAATCGCATGCGAACACCCCCACTGGGGCCTTCGGTGGAGCTCCCTATGGGGCTACGAAACGCTGCCCTGGGTGGGGGAACCGCAAGCGAACACCCCCACTGGGGCCTTCGGTGGAGCTCCCTATGGGGCTACGAAACGCTGCCCTGGGTGGGGGAACCGCATGCGAACACCCCCACTGGGGCCTTCGGTGGAGCTCCCTATGGGGCCACGAAACGCTGCCCTGGGTGGGGGAACCGCATGTGGACACCCCCACTGGGGCCTTCCGTGGAGCTCCCTATGGGGCCACGAAACGCTGCC